ATATCTTTTTAATCAGCTGTTTAAATTTTGACAAGCAGTTTTATAAATCATGATCTTCTTTTCTGTGATATCCTTTGGACTCAGATTTTATCTCAGATCAATTTCATATAAGGCTGCCATTTTTCCCCTCAGTTTTTCCAGTCACTAAAGGTGAAAAGTGGTTTAGCAAACATGATAGTAATTTTAACTGAGGCCTGGATGTTTTGTGATTGATTTCTTCTGCTTTCATTGCAGGCATTGTTTAGTAAAGCTGTTGAAGTGAAGATAAAACAGCTAGCAAAAGAATTAGGAGATAATAAAGGAAAAGCTGCTAAGATGCTTGAAAATATCATTGACTTGTTTAACCAGGTCAGAAATGATGGGGTGGTGGATGTTTGGTTACCTTTACATTGTCCAGAAGATAAACAGGGCAAAGTGTGTTACTTAAAAAGTTAAAGTGGAGAAGTCCTGGCCTGGTTGCTCCTTGCAGCAATAATATATATGCTGTTGAGATTATGCTGAAAGGGAGTGACAGAACATTTTTTATATGTTTCCCTCCCCCTACCTTCTATGATGAAAAATAATCAAGTAATAAGATCGGGCACTTTACATACTTTTGTTATCCTTGTATTAACACAGGGAGTTATTATAGTTCCCGTTTTACAAATGAAGAAACAAAAGCCTAGCACATGGGTCCAGCTTCGGGGTGATCTTACACCAATTCTCATTTTCTCTCTTTCACATTGATACCTTTCGTCATCATGGTATACTAACTATCTCAAAGAGATCTAATAAGAAACATTTGAGTCACAGGATATTAGACCTTTAGTCTTTTTTAGGTGAGAAAGGATGAAAGGCAAGTTTTCCATGTGTTAGTTTTAGTATTTGTTGTATATTCTATCTTACTGATGTTCATACTAATTTACACTCCAGTTAATGAAGCATGAAGGGAAAGATGATATACCCGATTTTCCTAGCATGCTCCTATCAAGATTTGCTTATTTCTTCCATCTTTGTTTCCCCACCTTCCAGGCAGCTGGTGATGCCATTTCTGACATGCTGATAATTGAGGCCATCCTGGGTCTGAAAGGCCTGACTGTACAACAGTGGGATGCTCTCTACATGGATCTTCCAAACAGACAACTCAAAGTGAAGGTGTGAGAGAAATTTTAAAATCTTTTTGGTACCGGGGAGTGAATTCAGGTCCTTGCACTTGCGAGGCAGGTGGCAGTACCACTGGGCTAAATCCCTGGCCCTCTTAAAATCTTTTAAAAGATATAAATAAGACCTATTTTCTCACAATCTTTAAAAAGAAAATAGGTCTTATCATTTGAGAAGTACTAGATTTCCAAGTTTATTATAAAGAATATTATGCATGACTATGCATCACTTTAAAAAAAAAGATCTTATTATGGGAAACTTATTAGATATGGACAAAGCACAAAACATATGCCCCTTTACGCTCAGCTTTAGGAGTTCTGTTATTTTGAAGCAAAACCCAGATAGCCTATTAAATGAAAATATTTCCTTTGCACTATTTTTGGCTCACAAAAATAATACCTTTGGCTAGATGGAGTAGTCAAATCTGTGTGCTCAGTAGGAGAGAGTATTTAAAAAAGGATTTCAGGTAAATGACTGGTTGATTTGCATATGAGCTTATACCAGTCTACATATTCTCCAGTAGAATTTGTTAGAAAAGTTCAGAGCTCCTAGAAATGGGCTTCTGATTGTTCAAATTAGTTTTGGGTATATTTTGGAGATAACACAGCTCTTGTATGTAACAGGTTGCCACTATACTATTAAAAAATACCTACTTGAGTAATTTGTAGGAAACTGGATGCACTTGGAGACCATGTTGAGTGAAATAAACAGACACACAAGCTTAAATATTACATGGCTTCTCTTATTTGGGAAACCTAAAATATAAAGAATAATAGATAATAGAGGATAATCAAGATGTGTTATGTACATGTACTAACTCCCCACAAGGGATATAGTTATATACAGTAAATATGTCCAAAAATAAATACCTAAAGTTATTATATCATTGGGTCTGAGGGATGATAGGGCACTTAAAATCATACAGTATTTGCTGTCCATTATTTTAGTCAAGTGTCTAGGGATTTGTTTGGTTTGCTAAAGGGATAGGTCTCACTTTGGAAAAAACATTTCACTATCTCAGTATTGTACTTTATAATACAGTAGGCCAAAGTGCTAGTCTGTTGTTGTTAATTCCAATAAAATTCATTTTATGTTGAGCAGGTTAGTTTCTGAAAGGTATTTAATACGTATAACAGGTATCCAACACCTCTGTTTAGGTTGCAGACAGGCGAGTTATTAGCACCACAGATGCTGAAAGACAGGTGGTTACACCACCTGGATTACAGAAGGTGATCAGTGACCTGGTGAAGAAGTACAAGTTCTCCCGAGCTTTTGTTCGGCCTTCTGGTACAGAGGATGTTGTCCGAGTGTATGCAGAAGCAGATTCACAAGTAAGCTGGGATAGTTCTGAAAAAAATGTGCAGTGAGAGTCTAATGACAGAGGGTCAGGGGAGAACACTAGCAGTGGGCAGAAAACATTTTAACATTTAGGATTTCACTGTGAAGGGTAAGTTTATATTTGTGATTTTAAGATTATCATGAAGAGTGTTACAAAGCTGAACAAGTAACACCTCTTTGGTTCATTTTTACCCCAAGATAGGTCTCACTGTGTACAGATTGTCCTTGAACTCATTCTGTAGGCTAGGCTGACTTTGAACTTGCAGTGATCCAACTGCCTCAGTCTCCCGAGTGTTGGGATTATAGGTGTGTGCTACTATGCTCAGCTTGTCCCCAAATTATTTTTGATTTATTGTAGACTTTCTGAAGTGCTATATGTCTGTGACAGGAATAACTAAGTTTGATATGCTATGCTCTGTGAAGTAGATAATCCTGTTTTATAAGAACAGCCAGCTTTGCAGTTCATTTCTAAACCAACTGGTAATGTTTTTGTTTCTGGGAAATTTTTTTTTTTGGTACCGGGGATCAAACTCAGAACCTTGTGCTTGGGAGGCAGCGGAACCACTGAGCTAAATCCCAGCCCCTGTTTCTGTGCATTTGACTTGAAATGACAGCTTTACTGTTTTCCCCTTGGGGTCAAGACCGGTGCTCTGGATTTTTTTTTTGGAGTCAGGATCTTGATGTGTAGTTCATCCTGGCCTTGACTCTCCATCTTCCTGTGTAGCCCCACAGGCTGGGATTTTTATAATTTTCCCTCTTCACATACTCCATCTTGTCTGTCACCTTAGAGTCTTGATACAAATGTTTGCACAGAAAAGTAAACTAGGTTGAGCAGGGACTTGGAAACATTTCTATAAGACTTGGGGAACTTTTTCTTTTCTTTTTTTAATAGAAGCATGGACCACCTTAGGATGCAGGAAATGAATAGCCATGGCAAAGCAGAGGGCAACTAAGGTCCTAAGATAGTGATGGCAGACCTTTTAGAGACAAGGGCCCAAACTGCAACCCAAAACCCACTTATTATGTAATTGCAACACTGCAATTAAACTTGAATACTGAAGTTTTAGTTTAGGGGGGGAAAAAAACCTATGTACATTAATATCTTTTGTCTTAAAGGACAAACAACATGCTTGCCATACTTTCCTAGGAGTTCCTAAGCCAATTATGGCCACCTTACCTTTAAAGGGACTAGGTTTTATTGAATTCATTCAGTTTGGGAATAACTGGTTTTATTTCCTGGATCAGCTGAAACTTACCTTATTTAGGAGAATTTAATTTGATTTCCATTTATTTAAGGGCCTGGGAACTTGTTACTGAAAGATGAAGAATAGCTTTCATTTGAATATGTTAGTGAAAATCAGGAAGCGCCCCCCCATCCCCCTATCCCAGTCCCAGAGCTGCAAGTAGCATGGTAGATGTTACAGCTTTATTATCTAATTTCTTTAATGTAATTTGCAGGAAAATGCAGATAGCCTTGCACATGAAGTGAGCTTGGCAGTATTTCAGCTGGCTGGAGGAATTGGAGAAAGACCTACACCAAGTTTCTGAGGATAATTTGTATGTTCTGGAAACTGGAATTTTAAAAAGCTTTTACAAAACTGTAACAGTAATGGCACAACTAATTCATAATCATGTTTACATGCACCTTACTGGATTGTTTCTGGATCGGTTTTTCCTAAACACTACTAGAATATTTTTTTAGAAATAAGTAAATTTTTTTATGCTTGTTATAGTTGACCTCTAATTTTACTAATATAAAATATTGGGGGCTTAAGTATATGATTTAATCATTAATTTTACATATATGCACAAATCATTCAGAGTGCTGGAAAATTAAATCTTACTACCCACTTCTTGTCATGTCTCTGCTGTGGCTACTACCTAATCGAGGTGTTGCTTTACAGCTTAACCCTTCTACAATACCAGTGAGGAGGGTGGAGGCAGCTTTATACTACCAAATTTTCTATGGCAGATCTTCAGCCTGGGTATAAGATAACTTACCTCTTTGCTTAGCACCGTTAGGAATTCGGAGGTGTGAGCCTGGAGGTGGCCCATCTCTCCTCCACACTGAGGGGGAGGTGCCTGTGATGTCCTTACGAAGCCACACATTTCATTCAGGCTTCAGTGAAGGGATGTGGAAGAAGTAAATCTTAAGTTACTGAGTCTCTGATGGCAAAATATTCTGATACTAGATTATGGTTAATAATGAAAAGAAAACTCCCAAGCAATCTAAATTAAACCAAGCCTGAAGCCAGTAGAAAAAAAAAAGGGCAGAGTGTATTGTGTAGGTTTAAGACAATTCAGGACAATAAAACAGTGTACTAGACATATATATAGGGAGATCTCTCATAGGCACCATAATCACTATGAACCAACAATATTTAAACTTGAGTCAGGCCACATTCAGACATTAGCTCTTATTTACAAATATTTAAATACAACCTAAAATGTGTTTTGTTACATATATAAAAAGGAAAAAGAAACTATACAACTCAGAGCAGCATGTCTGTTTTAAATAATTCCAATGAAACCACTGGCGATATTCAAGTTTTTATCACCCCTTCCAGAAAATCCTTTTCTACCATCTCTTCTATTTTTTGCCTGGCTTTGCTGGAAAATGGTTTGTGGTTCTCCAGTTTCACATCCTTATTAGGGAAGCTGTTTGAGTAAAGGATAGGGCTCCCTGAGTGTCCTCCACACCGACTGGTGACTTTGCTGTTGAAGACCTGGCTGAGGACATTGAAGAATGGCAGGAGCTGTTCCATACTGCGTACGGTACAGATGGTGAGCAGCAAGTGCCCTGGCTCCCAACCCAATGTTCTCCCTGAGTTGTCTTCCTCTGGATTTTTCTGTAGAAAACAAAGGAAACATTGGTGTACTATATTAAACAGATGTAAATATCAGAAATCAGAGCTAAGAAATACAAGTGATGCTAAGTCTGCATTCAGATTTAATTGCTTCTAAGGCCGTTTGGTGCCATTTGCTACTTTTTATATATAGGGGGTCTGACATCCCTCATATAATAATTTCCAACCAAAATGCACAGGTAAGTTAGCAGAGGTTATTTTAGACAGTGATGAGTCAGAAATAAATAGCCAGCTCCTAGACTTCTGGACTCCCACCAAGGACTAGGGTCACAAATGATTATAAAAGAATTAGGAAAGGGGACTGAACTTCATACATTTAGCTAAATGGCCTAAACTTGCCACAAGATTATAGCAGGGTCCAAAAGTGGGTAATTATCCAAATGTCACTTGTGGGTTGTGCTAAACAACATGGTTAGTGTTTGCTCTGCCACTTAACTGTGTTGCATCCTTGGGAAAGACATAAAAGTTCCTCACTGATGAAACGGGACAATCTTATCTATGAGCAGTAGAGTCAAATGAGAATATTTTGTAAACTGTCAACTAAATACAAGCACCAATAATTTCTGTTTTAAAAGCTAGTTGAAAAAACCAGCTGGGCACAGTGGTGCATACCTGTAATCCCAGTACTCAGAGGATTGAGGCAGGAGGATTATGACTTCAACCCCAGCCTGGACTACATAGCAAGACTTTGTCTCAAAGGAAAAAAAAAAAAAGCCAACTGAATTACACAGGCATGCATATATATATATACTGCATTATAACTAGGTTTATCCTACTTTATATATATATATATACACACATACATACATACATACATGCATGAATGAAAAAGTCTTAGAGAAATTTATAGATGTTTGTACTTGAGCAAAATCACATATACTACAACACAGTAAAGATAATGTAAAGCAGTAAACTACAGAGAAATTATTCACTTATTGTTGGGAGAATTCATTCACAAATGGAGTTTCTCTTCTAAAATCAGATGATGTAGAGAAACTTTCATTGTTTACCTAATATTGTAATATCACCTTTGTCCTTGTGGAGAAAGAGTCAAAACTCTTGTGACTTCAAGATTTCTTTGCTTGTGCTTTTTATGTGTGGTGCTAGGGATCAAACCCAGGGCCTCATGAATGTTAAACATGCACTCAACCACTAAGCTACAGCCCCAGCTCTGTTTGCTTGTTATGAAGCCAAATGTTAAGAATATAGATTTAGCTGGGCATGGTGGTGTATGCTTGTAGTCCCAGCACTAGGGAGGCTGAGGCAGGAGGACTGCTGTGAGTTTGAGGCCAGCATGAAATGCATAGCAAGACCCTGTCTCAAAAAAAAAAAAAAAAAAGATTTAAAAAACAGATTCCACAAGAAAATAAAGTGTCATTTAGTTACCTGTAGCCAAAAAAAGACTAAAAACTCAGTTATCTATTTATTTCTTAGTAATTCTGATGTAGATTATAGTATAATACAGAAGTATCACCATTCCCTTACCTATGACACTGGCTTTCAAATCATTGACTAGTGGTAAGTACTAGCTGACAATATCACTTCTATTCATCTAAATCAAACTGCAAGTCCACTGTAGGTATCAAAGGGTAAACAGAGAAGAATTTACTCCTGAAGGAAAATTAATTCTGTACTTATACTCTCTATATAACTAATTTACAAATGTAAGACAACCAAGGTTTAACCTTTCATTTATATTACCTATCAAGAAGTGCCTTAAGACAGATTTTTTTCCCCAAACTCGACCTCAGTGTTAAAGTCAAGTATGTTTCCATACAAATAATTTCTCCTTTGACTTCCCAGTCTACATATGGAAAAAAGACTTCCTTCCTGTTTACCTCTCTTGTGCTTGATGAAATCCAGACCTGGGTTTTGTGTTTCACTATTGGGTCCAGATGTGGCAGCTTTTGCTGCTATATCACAAGCATCAAACAGCCAGCCACCCTCACCTGATGCTTGGCCATCTCCAATCCCTCCAAAATCACTGTCTTAAAGTCCTCCTCGTCCTGTGGAAGGAAAGAGAACTCATAGCCTTTGTTTGAATCACTGAAAAGTATGCTTGGCCTTGAAGACCTCGTTTAAAAGGATGTGGATAGGAAGATGCTTTGCAATCGAAACACAGTAGTTGTCTTATTCTGTGGGTTAAGTCCTGCCTATCCTTTAGATAAGGGAGGGGTCTTAGAATAATTATTACTTCTGAGATACTGGGATAACAGGGCATGTGTCTGGGGTCATGTGAAATTATACTATTTCTGGATTTGTTACGATCACTTTTCCAAACCCTGTGATATCAAAGTACCCACATCTACTCTTAAACTCTGGATTCAACTTTCATCTACATCTCTGTCCTTTTATTTAGCTCCTAAAGAAGCAATTAGGATTATAAATCAAATTCCTTGTGTCCTTCAAGGTAAAACTCCTTTTAATCACTTTCTTCCATTTCACTGTATAGTATGTGGAATTCAATTTAGGAACAGCTGCCTGATTAGGGAAAATTTCAGAAGACTGGAAAATTTCTGAGCACACAAAGCACATACTGCAAACTAAACCTCACCAATAACTATCATCCTAAAATTGTAGAGTTTATTTTTTAAAAATATGAATGCAAAAAAAAAAAAATGACAAAAGATGAACAAGTAAGGCCCAGTAATGAGCATGCCAATTTCATTACTCTTCTGGTCCTGGCAAAGTTATACAATAAATTAACCTGATATAGATAATATAATCGACAATACATACAGTATTGGCTCGGTTCAACAGTTTGGTTAGCAAGCAGAAAGAAGCACTGGGAAAAATTGTGCTTCCATTCGTGACCTCCGTATTGCATGATGAACAACCAATGTGGCCATCTTCCCCAGAATTTTGAAATGAATGAAGTTCATGAACTGGAGTACCACTGCACATTTTATGACCTTTATCTTCCTACACTTAATGGTACATGTTTTAAGAAAATTTTCACTTTTACCCATGAAGAGTATAAGTAGAAGCGTTACATACACACACACACATATTTTTGTTTTGTTGAGACAGGGTTTCACTATGTAGTTGAGACTGACCTGGAACTCACTATGTAGCCCAGTCTGGTCTCGAACACAGCGATCTGAGACAGGGTTTCACTATGTAGTTGAGACTGACCTGGAACTCACTACTATGTAGCCCAGTCTGGTCTCGAACTCACAGCGATCCTCCTGCCTCAGCCTTTGGAGTGCTGGGATTACAGGCATGTGTCACCACGCCAGGGAAAGCTTTATATTTTTGAGCCTTTTCACAACCTTTCCATAAAGATAGTGTAAACTCAGGGCCTTGTGCTTGCAAGGCAGTTGTGATGCCACTCAGATAAATCCCCGGCCCCAAGTCAGTATAATTCTTAAGTGTTTTAAAAAATGCAGGATTTGGGGAGGAGTGCCTTGAAATCCTAAAATAGGAAGTGTCAACAATAGAAAATGTACAAAAGAAAATACAGATTAAGGGGAAGTGTTTGATGAGAAACTTCAGATTCTGTTTTATGGCAATACTTATCAGGATATGGAACACAGTTTAGGTTATAATGAAAGCAAAAAATAACCTAAAAAGAGGTTTTTAGCGTATACATCTTACTTTATGTATAAGCAGAATGAATGCTAATGATTATTCCCATTATTCTAATCAGTTACCTGATTCAATTTTGATGCAATATTCCTGTCAATGTGTTCAAATTTCAAATGTATAATCTCAATCACTGATTATTGCTTGTTGAAACCAATTGACAGATTTTACAAATTCCTTTTAGGATTGCATTTTTCTCAGTTAACTCATCTGTTTCTCATCAAGTCATTCAGATAAATATTGTGGGTGTATTAAATTCTTAAGGTTGGACATAAAAGCCTTTTAGGACAACAGTACTAAGTACTTGTATGCATGGTTTCAAGGTTTTTATTTTACTCTGAAAATACATTTTAAAATAGATGTTATTAGTATACAAAAGACTTCAAATAGATATCAGGGCTAGGATTTAAGAGTTTGCCTAACCACGTGCAAGGCCTTGAGGTCAATCTAGAAATGAAAATCAAATGTTCCTCTAAAATATATACAATATATTTCTTTATTTTGAATGTTTCCTTTTTCTAAAACCTTTGAGACAGGTGAGGTCTTGCTAAATTGTCCAGTGTAGCTTCAGGCTTGCAATTCTTTCAGTAGCTGGGATTATAGGCATGTGCCATTGCACCTGCTATATTTTTTAAATGTTCATAAATATTAGATTTATATCAGTTCTGAAAACTAGGGACTTGTTTTCAAAATAGCTCAATTTGAAAGTATCTTCAATATCTCAGGAACTATTTAATAAATGTCTGACTGATTAAGAGGTTAGTACAGCAAGTCCCTGACAGGTGTGCTGTTTAAGACACACAATCAGAAATGAATCTGGCTTAGAAACATTCTCCCAGAACAGAACTCCTTTGTAAGTCAGGGACTTATCTATCACATAATCTTAACAATACAGATATAAAATGCAATGTGCACATAATAAAACCAAATAAAAACACATTTAATACCTTTGCCCTTTTCCGGAGAAGTTTTGCTAGTCGTACCACGTAAGGTTTAAATTCTCGTTGATGTATGCCCTGCCTCCTGACTTCCAAACCTGAATCATCTGAGGCTTCTGGAATAAAGGCCCATCGGTACCTTTGTGTGGAAGAATGATGTCATCATCAGTAAGACAAACTGTGCTAAGGTAAGGTTATATAATTTGGTAGAAAGGTCATCATTCTATTACTTACAAAGGTTTCAAATGACAGCTGTGCTACTGCTGATAGCCCTGTTACCTTGGGTATATTTTTTAACCTCTGAGCCTTTTCTTCATCAGTAAATACAGTAAATACCACACAAGAATTTTAAGGGCTAATGTGCTCATCACTGTTTTTTTTTGTCTAGCACAAAGCAAGTACTCATCAAATGTATCGTTATTAGTTAATAGGCAAAAACTTCTTAAAAAGAAATTGCTTTTATGTAGCTTGTCTCTTTATACTATAATAGTCTCATAATGACCTGATTTTACAACATATAATGGACTAAAAATTTTACTAATAATGTATTAAGAACTGGAAATTTCAGTATTGAAATAGGACTTCTACCATGCCTACTTTAGATTTTTGCTTATTTAAATCTATGGAAAAAATTAGAATATAAAGGACATACCAAAGAAAGGTATTCTCCCACCTACCATAAGACCCATCAGTTTCTTGTATTATACTTTTTCAGAAATACTTTATTCATGAAAGAGTACATACTCACATAATGAACCCTTTCACTCACTGCCCCTTTAAGAAAAATAAGACATTATGCTTGTATTGATATAATTATAGATCTTAGAGATCATTCATATCACGTTAAACCCATTCTAAAGCTACACAGAACTCTACTGATTCAACCAAGTTTCTTAGATGGTCTAAGTTTGTTACAAAAGTACTACATAGTACAAGTTACTTATATGAAAATTATTAGTGTAAGTATTGTGTTAAGACAGAACCTTGGATGAAGCAGAATTATTAGCTTAAAGAGAAAGTATATTGAAATTTTTAGTAAATATAACCCTCTAAGCTGTATAATCTCAATGTATACTTCCAAGAAGAATGATTTATGAAGCAGTTTTTAGGTCTTTACCATTCTGATGGTTATCTATAGTTTTAATTGTAATTTCTCATATGATTGCAACTTAGCACTTTTTCTATTTTAGTAGCTATTTTTCTTTTGGTGCCGGAGTTGAACTCAATGTGGCAAGATGCCGTCTGCCATAGAGTTACCCACTCTAGCCCTGTTTCATCTTAACAGTATCTTGGCAAGTAAAGAAGATAAACTAACTCTGGTTCTTGTCATGGAAGAATAAAAGTCAATACCATAAGCATACTAGTTAATGTTCATCTTAAGGCACTGAAAAGTATAGTTTCTGTCACTTCTCTGAATGTAAGTGTCCTGGTTAACTTTGGACACCTTGCTTAGTTCTGCTTAGTACTGGTATCCTTTTCTAAACTTTTTTAGGACTTACATTTGACAGATACCCAACTATTAAAATTCTTCAAGAAGTAGATGTAGACTGTTATCAAATGGAAAAAGGAATTAATCTAAAATAATGTTTAGTTTTGCCATTAAATTTAATGACAAGCAAATCTTGAAGATTTACGCATGCCCAAAGAAAAAGATAGCTTACTTTATCTTATATCATTCTTTGTAAGAATACTATTAACAGCATAATATACTGTACAAATGTTTGATCTTGTGCACAGATTCTCAAATTATTTTAGCTACATTTTGATTAGAATATCATAGTTTTCCTATTTTAAGATTTAGATATGGAAAACCATATTATTGAGCAATTACTATTAAAGCATTATGAGCATTTCCTCATGAATTTTCTCCCTACTTAGTTTAGTTCACTATTAAATAAAATAGCCTTCTTAGTTCTAGTGTTGCCTACCTCTAGTTCTTTCTTCACAGTATACAGCCAAAATACTTAATAATCAAGTCCTTTTCCAGCCTCATGAAACTGTGCTTCAGTCAGTGCTGATTTTTCAGTATCTCAGACATACCAGGCCTATTACTACCTGACTTCACCTGTGTGCCTTTCTTTCCCAACCCTCACTCACCACCTCAGTTTAAAAACTCCCAGGGCTAGCTCTGAATCAAAAAGCTGGGAGAGATTTCTGCTCTGTGCCTTTTACAGCATGTTTTATAGGTACTATTGTGTAACATTCATCTTGTGCTCAACTGTATGACTCCTTTACTGGGCCTGAAGGTTGCAAGTCATGTTTCCCAATGCTTCTCATCTGGATGGTATTCAATTTGTTGACTGAAGGGCCTGCTGATCTTAATATAGCCACATCGACCCTTTACTTTCAGTACATGTGGTGTCCTCTCCTTTGCTAAAAGAGGTACACTTTAGTAAAAATTATTCCAACTTGGTACAAAGAACTTTTTAGTGTTAGATTTCAGTGACATCTAACGTTTTTCAAATGTATTTTCAAATCTACCCACTTACATCTGAAACTGGGGAAGATTTTCAGAGGGCAGTGCCAGAGCCAAATCCAAAAATTTGCAAGCAGAGAGATAGAGGTTTAACCACCGCTGGCTGTTATATGAAGTGGAAAAGCCATTGCCTCCTGTATAGGTGGTCTCCAGACCAGCTACAGAGGGGCCCGAAGTCCTGTAAGGTAAAAATAGCACTATCAGCCATATGCTTCACGTGGAATTCCTGGAACATCTGAACTACCAGGCAGTATTTTATAGTCATCTTAAGTGTACCAATAATTTTTGCTAAATTACTGGTCATGACAATTTTGCTGCATCAAAAAAAAATTCATGTTTTTCTAATGTTAAGAATTTATAAATAACATCTCATAAATATACAAGTAATAGTGTAACCCTGAAACCTTACTAGTATGCAGTTACTTTTTGCAAGTATAGGCAGAATCTTTCAATAATAATAAACAGTTATTAGGACAGCAGACTTTTTATAAACTACTGAAGAATACAATGTATTTAAGAAACGTGGTCTTAAAGGAATTTCTAAATTTACAGATTTAGGCAAAACATGTATAAATTAGATTTAATCATAACATTGGTCCCACTAAAAGTAAAACTGTAAATATTACATTTGGAACATTCTAAAAGATCTGGATACCTTTATTACAAATTTTCTCCTGTACTAAGTTTTGCTATCTAACAATTATAAGGGACCAGATATTGACCATGTAAGTATGGCTCATGTTGCTGAAATTGTACTATATTGAGCTGTATTTGTATCTAGAGGCCAAAGAGCATAATTGCTAATAGTTTAATCCAGTCTACTGGATTCAGGACTAAGTGAAATTCTGTTATATCCAAACATGATCAACTAAACAGTGGACTAGTCATATAAAATATTCAGATAAAACAGTATGTACTCTCTGGAGTTGTTGAAATTCTGGATAACTTTGGGGTATTAAAACATGCTTAAGAACATGTTGAAATAAATTACATATTACCGTGAAATATCTTCATCAGCAGTGAGTTCCTGCTCCATCAACAAAAATACCTGTACCTGAAGAACATTAAATAAATGTTAAATATTTATTTAAATGGATATGTAATCCTTTCATGTTATCTTTAGGCTATAATTTCATTAATATAAAAATTTTAGAATACATGTTCAGAGTATTTTGTATTAGTTCTGAAAAGAAAATTGAAAGTTTTGCAGCACAGAGCCTTACTAATCATTTGGCAGAGTCCACTGGGACAGATTTTTGTTTTTAGTGATGATAGAAAAGAGTTATAGTTGCTTAAAAAACAAAAATGAAATATTAAAGCAGATTTCTTTGTGAAATTATAAAGTTGGATTTCAGACAAATGGGTTTCTCTCCCCTTCTCTACTTGTCATCCTTTGCTGAATTCCCAAATCATTGCTTTGAAGATGAGGATGACTTCATATATGAGGACACTGAATAGTGTAGGTAGACTTGGGAAAGTTCTGCTGATCCATAGTTTAGAAAATCTTTGTGGAAGGCTAAAACAAATTTAACTGGAGTAGGTCCTGTACTTCAACAGTAAGTATATTCCTTGTGCCACTGTTATGGTTTATATGGAAAATGTCCCCCAAAGGTCTCAGGTACACAGAGGTGGAGCTTTTGGAAGGTGACCTAGTCACAGAGGGGTTTGCTATTGATGTTGGGGAGGTCTGTTCAGAAGAGAGAGATCCATGGGGGCATGACCTGGAAGGATCTCTGTCTTTCCTTGGCTCCTCCCTTCTCTGCTTCTGACATGACATTAGCAGCTTTACTCTGCCAGGCTGTTTCACCCAGGACTTTCTGCCTTGGAGCTGGCCAACTGTGGACTGAAAATGTAAGTCAAAAATAAACCTTTAAGTTGCAGGTGTTGGGTATTTTGTTTTAGTTATAAAGAAAGTGACTCAGCCAGTCCATTAAAATCCAGCTCATCCATCTCTATCACTAGAGGGACTACTAAAAGTGGGAACCAAACCTGTTGACCCTGACAAGTTAAAAGTATACAGGAAAAAAAAAATTTTTTTTAAGTGTACAGAAGATACAGAACACTAAACCAGATCAGATGAACTATTTCATATGCAGCTGGCCATCTACAATGCATGATTGGAAGTTTAAGAGCTTACTGTAAGAGATGGAATCTGACTCATTTTACTGTTTTCAGCTGTAAAAAATGTTAGTACTTTAAATTTAATTCTCTTTCAAGATTAGTTTTCAAGGGGCCGGGGATTTAGCTCTGTGGTGTTGCCACCTGCCTTGCAAGCACAAGGACCAGAGTTTGATCCCTGGTACCAGAAAAAAAAAAAAAAAAAGATTAGTTTCAAGATTTGTAAATAGGGATGGGTAGAGGGGGTGAAGGGAGGGCAGGGGTATGCGGAAAAAAGAACCAAGATACATCATGTGTAAAGGTACAAAATCCCAATGATGAATGTAACTGTACTATATACCTAAAATGTACCAATAAAAATGCAAAAAAGATTAGTGTTAGCCAGTAAATGTGGAAACAAATCATACTGTTTTATAGTTTAGTTTGTAACCTAACAATTAAAATTGACTCACAAGTTCTGTGATCATGGTAGGCCAGAGTGAGGTAAGATGTTGTGGAGACATTCTTAAAAGTAACACTCTGAAAAACAGGAACACTTGAGAGTGAAGAGTTGGCACCTGGGGCAAACGGAGGCTTTCAACCAATCTCTCTGCAAGAAATGCAGTATATTTTCAATGCTGAAATAATTTGGTTCATATCATATAGCACTTCTTATCTACTGCAGTAGTTCTTAAACCATCTAATAAAGGACTCCTTTAAAAAATTCCAATCTATCGAAGACATACATACATAAAAATTACATGAAAAATCAAGGATATACAAAATACAAATATGTATCATTTTATTATCAAATGACAAATGTTTACTCTAAATTTTTGTATTTATCATGGATAGGAAAAGTGATGGATAGTGATCCATGGACCAGACTTACTGCGTATTGTATTTCTGAAATTAGGTACATTATAAAGGAAAAAAAAAAAGGAATCACTTGTATTCCTGAAGAAAAATCTTGTGAGGGATATGGCAAGTATGTTACCATGTGTGCCCCTGACAGTGGAGGCCACATAGTATACTGACTGCACCGCAAATAATTCTTTTCATTTTTCTTTTTATTAGCATGTGTTTGCAGTACATTCATTGTGGGGAGTTGGTACATGTACATAACACATCTTATTTTTTTATTCTCTTCTTCTGTGTGCCGGCCCCTACCCTCACTATCTCTTAGATAAAATTCATTCCCACTGTAAAGTAATTTGGTGGTATGGCGTGTTGAGGGCACTGCATTCTTCTGGACATAGGAGGTCAACAAACTCATTTAATGAAGGTTACCAGAAACCTTATACCTACCCTAACTACAGTCTCCAAATATTTCTTCTAGCCACAACTTGTGGGCTCTTCCTATATTTGTCTTCTCCTAAAGGGTGTATGACTTGTCCAAAATTAAAGCACTAACATGCCTGTCCATAGTAAAATAGTCAGACATTACTAACATGAATTCCTAAGGAATGTGAACCAAACAATAAAAGACCATATTCAAGTGAGCCTACAAATTCAGTGTTGGTTTGTTTTAGATATTGGAAATAATTTTTGTGGTACAGTAGAAAAATTTCTGATTATATAGCATTTTCTGCCAACCTATACATGGTATATTTCACACCAAGTTACAATTTAGGGGAAGCATTTTCTAAGAAACAACAAAAATCCTTTTAGTTAAGAAGATAGGAAAAAAAAAGGGTTTTAATTATTTACCTTGTATATCAGGAAGATATTTCTGGTATTGGTCAATTTCACTGCTAAAGATAGCAAAGGCCAATCTTTTGAGAAGCATGGCTCTCTGTTCCAGCTCCACATCTCTGTTTGCAAAGAGATTCAGTGAACTGCTTTGAGCCACAGCAACTCGAGCTAAAGAAAACAAGTGAGAGATGGTGCACACAGTCATTAGTAACCAGATTATTCTGTTACTTGTTTTAAAAAGTGGGTAGATGCCTTGTAATATTAAAAAATGAGAGGAAGTCGGCGAAGAGTACATGGGACCACTCTGCCACAAAAGAGCTGGCAAACAAAGCACACAAATGCCAGAAGACCAGACAGAATATAGAAGAGACATCATCATTTGGAACTGTGGATTTTAGAAGATAAAATTACTAATACTATTTTATAAAACCTTTCAATATTTTATGCCATCTGCATAAATCCTTTGTTTTACCTTAAAATATAATTTTTAGCCTGGTCTACCTACCTCTCTTTCCTCATGTCTGTTTACCCCCAACTTCTCAGCTATTTGTAGCCAGATTGTCTTATTTGCTGTCAGGTGAATTTATCATGTTTGCTGCCATCCCAAGACCTTAGAAATTTTTATTTCCTATTCCTAGAATATCTCTCCCTAGACCTCCCTGTTACACTTTTTATTCTTACATCAAATATGAACTCTTTAGCTGTTTTTTAAAATTGGTATTCCATATGGCCCCATTTCCATCACAATTTTTTATGCTCTGATATATGTTTTTTTGACTAAGGTGAACATAACACCCAGCCCACTGTTGCTAAATTTACTAAAAATTGTTTACTAAATGTTCAGTAAATATTTAAGTGGATGAATATGAAATTTAAAACAAGTTTTTTGAAGATGAGAAAAAGATAAAATAATGCCTTTAATCTATAAGAGAGGACTAGCTTGAGCTAAATTTATACAAATTTTAGCAGGGTGTGGCAGTGTATTCCTATAATCCCAGCACTCTAAGATCTGAGACAAGGCAAGTTTAAGCCTTGCTGGGGCAAATTAGTGACCTGGCAAAAACTTGTCTCAAAATAAAAATAATAAAAAGCCCTGGATTCAATCTCAGTACCACAAAAAAACCAAACCAAACGAAAAAGTAAAACTGTGCAGACACAATTTCACTGCTATTTCAGTTTAGTAACTCTCAAATTACTTTTAAAAAATCAGGAAAACCTTTTTTTCTCCAAAAGAATACTAAATGGAACCCTAATTCATAAAGCCATCAGGATTGAGTAGAAAGGGATGTAGAAAGTGATTCTGACCATCTTGGCCACTCCCTTCAGAGGAGAAAAACAGAACCCCAGAGATTTGGTACTTGTCTCATTGGATGGTTTAAACTTCCTGCCTTAACTGTCTGTCAGTCTTTCTTTCAATCAATCATTATTTCAGTGCCTACTTTACACAAGGTATAGAACTATGGTGTATTAGAAACAATTTAGAAACACTTCTCTAGAAACTCTAAGAACAAAACTCCAGAAATTCTAGAAACAATTTAGAGCCAATGTAGACATGACCCTTTCCTTCCGCTAGTTGCCCCAGGAGGTTACTTACTGTTCATTACTAAGTTGTCCATTGTAAATATTAATATTATATTGCCATAGGTTACTATATACATCTTGACAAATAACTAATTTAGTAGCTTCCAGAAAGAACAATGTAAATATTAAGAATAAATCATGCACAACAAAGACATTGCCGGGATTATCATTCCACAATACTCACTCATCAAATCTCTAAATGTTGTCTTATCATGGGTCATCAGATTGTCCATAATAGCTCTCCAACTGTAAGAGATAAGGATTATGATATGTAACTTTGTTCTTGTTACTATTAAAACATCATTACTTGGTGGGACAATAGTTGACTTGAGCTACCTTACCATGTTATATGAAAGCAAAGGATGACTTACTGATTAACACAAAAGGCATCCATCTGAAAGAAACTGGGATCCATAAAGAGGTCAAAGGCTTCTTTTTTCCAGGCTCTCCGTGTGTACTGATATCCACTGAGACTGCTGAGCAACTGGACACAGGCACGGTAACTAGGGGCATTGTGTGCACTGTAAGAAAGAAAACCACCTTACTCTCTCCTTTCTAGCTTTAATCATGCTAAGTTAGATATATGTTCACATTTACCCAAGACAATGAATGACATCTGAAACAGTAACATAAAAATACTGCAATTTTATGCTTAATTCTAAAAAAGGCAATGAGAAAACAGAACTTATTTCTAAATGGCTATGAATTAATTTAAATTATAAACAGGAACTTGTTTCCAGAAGGCTATGAAATAATGTAAATCATAATAGTACCTGTGATTTCGGAGGTAGGGCACAACATAATGCATAATATTTACAAGTAAAGGAATAACTCGCTCCTTTTCATCACTATAGAAAACCATATCCAAAAGGTGAGCCAAAATCTGAAACATGAAAAATGAAATGGTATAATCTATGAGTAGAAACTAATATCACCTACAGGTATTAATGTTTAGTTCATAGGAAAACTTAGAAAAACTTAAAATGAGAAAAATCTAATGTAAGGTCTCTAAATCACTTTTATATCAATGATTTCTGCCACACTCTACTTTTTTCTCCATTCTAGCTACAGGATATAGACATATTTTGCTATTTCCAGCAGAGAGAGGGATGTATATAAAAAAGTGGTTAAATGGGCTTGGGATTTAGCTCAGTGGATCCACTGCCTGCCTCACAAGCACAAGGTCCTGAGTTCGATAACTAATCTAGAGGTGGGGGAAAGAGTTAAAGAAAAATAAGAAATATGATGGATCATGTAAAGGTGCAAATTTCCAATGATGAATGTCATTATATTGTGTACCTTAAATGTATCGATAAAAATTTTTATAATTTAATAAAGTTAAAGAATCTTCTAATGTGACGGTGACTAAACAGTGGACTTAAGACTACAAATTCAAGGGCTGGGGATTTAGCTCAGCGGTTCGGTGGCCTGCCTTGCAAGCACAAGGACCCAAGTTCAATCCCCAGTACCAAAAAAAAAAAAAAAAAAACTACAAATTCAGTATTCTTTCCCCCTTACTAGGTTAAAAGGAGGCTTTGAAAATACCAAATTAACTTGGCTACTCAAGTCCCAACTCTGTTACTTAATAGTTATACAGCCTTAGTAATAGTTTTCTAACCTTTTTGAAGACTCAGTACCCAAATGTATAAAGGGAAAACAAAAAAATGACATACATAGATGTGTAACAGTATGAAAAATACTTGGCAGAGAATGTGCATAAAGATGTTGCTAACCTGTTAAACCCTTCACAGTGAAAGCATCATTATCATAATGAAAATACAAAGGCAGTTCTCTTTCTTAAAAAATATATTTTTATTCTGTTTTGTTTTGGTACCGGGCATTGAACTTGGGTCCCTGCGCTTGCAAGGCAGGCGGCAGAACCACTGAGCTAAATCCCCGGCTTAAAAAATAGTGTGTGGGAAGGGAGAACAATATCTCGAGTTATTATCACTAATGTTAAACAAAACTGTCAAAACATAGACAAAGCCAAAGGTTTACGTCTGTTAATTCTACATATGATTTCTAGAAATACAAAATGGGTTTTCAATTAAAATTTCTCTATAAGAATTATTTGCTCACTGGTCATTTGAGAGATGCAAATGAAAACACCACCGAAATTCCACTTTACCCTAGAAAGAAGGGCTGCTATCAAGCAATCAGTAACAAATGTTGGCAGGGTTGTGGGGAGAAAGGAACCCTTCTCCACTGTCAGTGGGAGTACAGACTGGTGCAACCACTGTGGAAACCAATGTGGAGATACCTCAAAGAACTAGGATTACAGGTCCCATTTGACCTAGCCATTCTCCTGCTGGATAGCTTCACAAAAGAATGAAAAGAATTGTACCACAGTGATATATGTGCACCCATGTTCATAGCAGCACAGTTTGTAATAGGTAAAACTTGGAAACAGCCCAACTGGAGACTGGATAAAGAAAGTTTGTTTTTTAATAAAATGGAGTAGTACTCAGGCATAAAAATTAGAAATTAAAGACACTTTTAGCTAAATGGATGCACATTGAGGCGATACTCAAGTAAAATAAATAGGACACGTGTAAATACCAAATAGTTTCTCTGGTGTAAGAAACTGAAAGTGTAAATAAGGATCAAAATGTATAACAGATAATGTGAAATAGGAAGAAAAGGGGCAATGGAGAAGGGGAAGGAGGAGAGGTAGGGGAAAGGAAAGAAGGGAATAGAATTAATATGAGAAAATGAAAAAATGGAAACAAAGTCTCTGTAAATAGAGAGGGGTGGAGGGGTTGAAGGGAGGGCAGGGGAATGGGGAAAAATAAGAACCAAGATATACCATGTAAAGTCACAAATCTCCAATGATGAATGTCACATTGTACACCGGAAATGTACCAATAAAATTAATTTTAAAAAATTATTTGCTCATATTTTATTACTAAACTTAACTTACAAGATCTTGTTAAAAAAAACTTGGATGTTTACCTCAGAGAGTAATGTCAATGCATGGACACTATATACAGAGGGAGTTATGTTTGAGGTTTCCATTGCAGGGGATAACATATCTAAATATGAGAAAAGACAGGTAAAGCAAACACACTGGTTAGCATTTTCCCACTCAAAAGAAGTTATTTGCTAATAATGAGAAAAGGGATGAATTTATTGTACTCACAGTGCTAACGGAAATGACTATTAATTTATAGAAAACAAACCTAAATGCCTGAAATACCTTCAACATCAGATTCCAAATTGGTTCCATCTACCATTATTTTTGGAGAAGGCTTAACTTCTAGGTTTCGTCTCAGCCATGTTGTTTGTTCCAGAGAAGAACCAGCAATTGCACCAATAGCATCCACTATTTTATGAGTCACATCCTAAAGAAACAAGGAAAAGTCCCTATATATGTGTACATTCACACATACATAAATATTCATTATTAAGTTTTGTAGTTTTATATTTTCTGACAACAGGTATTTTACAAAAGACATTGCTCATCTTTATAGAATGTTAGGAGTTGGAAGAACTTCACAGATTATCTTATATGACCCTCATGTGCAAATTGAAAACGACGAGAAACAGAATTTTGGCATGGTTTACCTGAAGGTCTCTTTGGTCTTTTTTATTTTCCAGACTAGGGTTTTTCATAATAAACTCATTCAGAACCCTAAAAAGGCCACCAAATAAAAATACAGAAATAAAAAATATTAGTCTAAAGAAAATGATGCAATCTGGTTTATCACAGTAAGTGGCTTTATGGCCTCAATTTCTATTTTAACTATTAATTGAATATGTATTTATTTTCTGACTCAAATGAACTGCCTAAACATGCATGAAAAGACACAAATGTTAAAAGCAGCAAAATTTCTAAGAATTTAGTATATTTAAAAATGTTCACCTCTTTAATGTTTGATCCATGTACATATTGAGAAGATGAGGAAACAGTAAAATCTTTTTTTTTTTTTTTTTTT